GCAATTGACATTACTGTGCTTCTTTAAAAAATTCTCCTCAGCGATTTACATTAATGTTTTATATTACATCTAATGTTGATAAAAATGTTTAATGCCTTATTTTAATTGTATGTGTTACCGTGATGCTGTTTAGTAGTTGTGTGTGAACGACACTGAGCTTCTATTGTAAAAAATATTCATAAATTAGCAGTTTTCCGTATTTTGTGATTTCCTCCATTTATTTATGCTTTTGAAATGCATTATGGGACCTTTGTTTTTTCTTCCAACAACTTTTAACCTTGTAATGAACTGCCAGTACATTTTCCATAATATTTTTTTATTTATTTTACTGACTTAATTCTCTATATGTTTATTTATATGCATTATATTATTTCAAACTACTAAAATGTCAATAAAAGTCACTTTGTTAAACTGTAGAGTTGAATTTTCAAGTTAAGGTAGCTCAAACCATTTGATGAAACCGATTGCAACAAACCATTCAAGTTCAAAAACTAATCCTAATGAGTACTGTGAACTTAATCCATCTGAGTAAATGAAGTAACTTGAGCACAGTAAAACCCAATAAATGAAGAGAACTCAAACCAACTGAGTACTGTAAAATGAGTTAAGGCAACTCAAACCATTTGAGGAAACCGATTGCTACAAACCATTTGAGTTAAAAACTAACCCCAATGAGTACTGTGAACTTACTCCATTTAAGTTAAAGTAATGAAATATTAAATTTACTCATTAACACTGAGTTCAAAACTCTTTTCAAATTAGTAGAATTAACTTTCAGTAAAATTTAAGTTAACTACACTCATTTCATTGGACAAAGTTGACTGTTGGGTTTTACAATGTTTTTATTTTCTGCTGTTAAAAAGCTACAGAGGTCATTTTGACCTGTAAGTATGAGTGTTAAATTAACAAATCAAAGAGGTTTTTCAATGCTCCAGGCTGGCCTCTTCTGGGAGATCAACAGTTTTCAGCAGTACAGAAGCAGACGGAGTGGATCGGAAACATCCTGCCCCAGTGTGATACCACCACCACCCTCGAGCTGCCGCAGGCTGGACCCCGTCTGTTCAGCACCTACAGTGGCTCTCTCTGGCCTCTACACCTGCTCCCACATGCTCAGAGTCAACACACTGGCCACAACTCAAGGCAGCACAGCCTGTGTCTTCAGACACTCCAAAATCACACTGAAATGCCCTAAGGTGGTGATTGCTCAACTCTTTGCCCTAAAGGAGGGCTAAGAGGAGGAGTCAGTTGTATTTCCAATGAAAAGCAGCTCTCTGGCTGTGTTTACACTTGGCATTAACATGCCCCATGATCTGATCAAGCAGATTGGATCAGGACACGGCACATTTACACTTGGCAACATACACAGGCTTCTCTATCTGGATAACACATGGGATATTTCCTGCATATAAGTCTGAAGAGAATGGCTCTGAAGATTCATTTTTCAATCTTGACACATTTTGTTGGATTACATTTACAGTTGAAGTCAGAATTATTAGCCCCCCTTTGATTTTTTTTTCTTTTTTAAATATTTCCCAAATGATGTTTAACAGAGAAAGGAATTTTTCACAGTATGTCTGATAATATTTTTTCTTCTGGAGAAAGTCTCATTTGTTTTATTTCTGCTAGAATAAAAATTAGAAAAAATAGAAACATTTTAAAAACCATTTTAGGGACAAAATTATTAGCCCTTTAAGCTATTTTTTTAATAGTCTACAGAACAAACCATCATTATACAATAACTTGCCTAATTACCCTAACCTGCCTAATTGACCTAATTAAGTTAATCCTTTAAATGTCACTTTAAGCTGTATAGAAGTGTCTTGAAAAATGTCTAGTCAAATGTTATTTACTGTCATCATGGCAAATATAAAATAAATCAGTTATTAAAAAGAGTTATTAAGACTATTATGTTTAGAAATGTGTTTCTGTTAAACAGAAATTGAGAAATAAATAAACGGGGCTAAAAACTCTGTCTGTAACTGTACCTTAAACTGCGATCCGAGCACAATGTGTCCTCGACTACCTCTGGACCGGGACACACTGCACTCCAAAAAATATTTTTGCTGCTCGTTCAAACCCCTTGTTTAAAATGAGCTAAAACAACAGTTTCTTGTTTTTTTGTTTCTTTTAAATTAATTTAAGACAACTGATTAATTTATCTATTGTGTATGGAGTAATATCTGTGTATGCTTGTGAATATTAAGTAACCCTAGCTTTTTCTACAGCTAGATATATTTATACCACATTCATGCATTTTTAACTGATTAAATCTAATAGTATTTGATTTTAGCACATTTAGATTAAGGAATCTGACAACATACTTTTTAAAAAAACTGACAAGTTAAATAAGCTTTTGCTTCATCCCACTCCATTTTCGAGCATGTTGAAATGTATTTTCTGTTAATGATATTTTATGTCTGATATTTCTGTTCAAAAATAAATCAAATCAAAATGAAAAGGTTAACAATTAATGATAAACGTATGTTTGAGTGTATAGTGTCAGGTTGTAGCAAAAATGCTAGTTCCCACTTATAGTCCACAGACAGGTTTGTGTTTATAAAGATATTTTTTTTGTGAGTAAAATTATAAAACAGACCAGCCAGTAATACACTGTAAAAATGCTGGGTTCCAAACAATTCCTTTACGTTGTCCCAACACAAATGAGTTAACTGAATGGTTTATACAAATGTAAGTGGATTGAACATAAAACAATGAAGTTGTCCCCACAAACAACTCAAGAATTGTGTTGTAATGAGTAGCTTGAACAAGCAGATAAATGATGTTCCATCAATCAGCCAGCATTACTCGGAAATCGTTCCAAGAATCCAACCCTGCTCACTCACAAATCTCTTATTCTTCACACACAAATATACAAACACACGGGCTGAAAAACAAAACTGAAGGACGAGGTGATGGAAATGTTTATATAATGTTTATTATTAATGTTTATATAAATACAAATAGGTGGTGCGGTGGTGGAAGGTAGCTGGTTCGAGCCTCGGCTGGGTCAGTTGGCATTTCTGTGTGGAGTTTGCATGTTCTTTTTGTGTTGGCGTGGGTTTTCTCCGGGTGCTCCAGTTTCCCCCACAGTCCAAAGACATTAGCTTTAGGTGAATTGGGTGTGTGTGTGTGTGTGAGAATGAGAGTGTTTGGGTGTTTCCCAGTGATGGGTTGCAGCTGGAAGAGCATCCGCTGTGTAAAACATATGCTGGATTAGTTGGCGGTTCATTCTGCTGTGGCGACCCCAGATTAAGGGACTAAGCTGAAAAGAAAATGAATGAATGATGATTGAATAAATACAAATTGATCATTACGATAAATTGATCAGATTTTTAGAATAAGCTGTGGATTTGTAAATCACATCAACATTTATACATTATGCAGGAGGTTTTTTTTATTTTTTATCCTAAACCACTTGTGTCTGCTTGTGCACTTCTCTCACTCTTTTTCAGCCCGCATTTACGTTAAAGATTATGGGTGGTCGAGCTTCTCTCGCTTTTAACTCTTCGTCTTTGGAATGCATGACCTCTGGAGATTACAAAGTCCCCAAAGTTGGCCTGTTTTAGGAAGTTTCTAAAAATATAACCCTTTGATGCATATTGGGCAAGATAATTGTGCATTATATATATATATATATATATATATATATATATATATATATATATATATATATACTCAAAAAATTATTCTCGTTTAAACTATATAATTAACATGAGCTGAAAACACAATTCTTGAGATTTCATTGGGACAACTTAATTTTTTTTTTGTTCAATCCACATAAATTGTTAAAACTAAAAGTGTTAAGTTAACTTAATCAATCTGTGTTGGGACAATATGAATGAATTGTGTTGAACCCTTTACAATTTATTTTATGTATATATAAAATATTGTTATTATTATGTTTTTGCATTCAGGGTTTGAGTTGTATTACCAGGGAGTCAAATCCATGACCTTGGACCATTGTAAGCACCATACTGTCTCCAAGCGACAGGTTTCCTATAGTTTCCAAAAACACTATTTAGGTATGCCGTTCATTGGATAACAATAGATGCAAACTGAAAAACTATGAAATGGTGAAGTTCAGCAAATCTATTTTCTTCATAGCACACTTGCAGTTGACCACACCACACAACAGCTTTGGCATGGGGCGGCATAGTGGCTCAGTGATTAGCACTGTCCTGACTGTCGCCTCACAGCAATAAAGTTGCTGGTTCTAGTCTCGGCTGGGCCAGTTGGCATTTCAGTGTGGAGTTTGCATGTTCTCCCTGTGTTCCCTCTGGGTGTATAAGTATATGGGTGTTTCCCAGTACTGGGTTGCGGATGGAAGGGCATCCACTGCGTAAAACCATGCTGGAATAGTTGGATAATGATGATAAAAAACCATGATGATAAAAAAAATCATTAAAATACAGTATCAGAAAATGTCTGCAGGGAATTCTGGGAATTTTCGAAATAAACATGGCGAAATAATAATAAAAATGCATTATTTAAACCATTAGTTTTACGGTAAAAATATAGTATTAGCCAGCATAATTTCAGTTTTAATATAGAATTTATAGCTTGATGATGAAATCTTTTAACCCTTTGATGCACTACGTGGGTCTAAAGTGACCCGTCTAAGTTTATTTTCCATATCTATTATATAGCTTGTGCATCAAAGGGTTAAAGAGCGTTTCTGACACTTTGTATTTCTATTGAGAATGACACACAGATACAATTTCAATGCAGTTTTTTATGTTAGTATTTTCTCAAGAAACTCTGTAGCACGTTAAATGTTTGCAATGCGCCAAAATCAACACGTGTGCCGTGCATTTGGCGCCCGGTCAGAAATTATTTTTGTAGGCGTTTCTCAATAAGCAGACTTCACCAGCAAATGTTTGTGTCAACCGCAATATTCGGTGAGAAAGGTCTGAACGAAGGGGGCGTGGCTACAGCCTCCCTAAAGCAACGCTGCCCGCGCGCTCCGCCACAGCAGTCAGCTGGGGAGAGGCAGGCGTGTGCGCGCGCGCGTGCCCACCAACAGGGAAGCGAAGCGCAAGTCGAGCAGGACCCCGTACACTAGCGCAGTCTACAAGTCGAGGAGATTTCGACCCACTACATCCATTTCTCCCCTATCATGACCGAGTCATCGGATTCAGATGGCAAGGAGGGCGCGCGGGGATTCGCCAGGCAGGGCGCGCTGAGGCAGAAGAACGTGCACGAAGTGAAGGATCACAAGTTCATCGCGCGCTTCTTCAAGCAGCCGACCTTCTGCAGCCACTGCACCGACTTCATCTGGTGAGTATGCTGGAGGACGCAGAGCGTTGTGTGTAACGTTAGAGGGCTACGAAGGGCACAGGTGACTCACTTGATGCTCGTGACATGAAAAACAGCAAAGCGTTTGAACGCACTCAGACATCCGCAGTGCTGTCAACACTGAACAAAGACGCCGAGTGCAGACGGAAAACACAAGCGGGGTCTAGCGCAGTGCTGCACCTCTTCAAGACACGTTTATATCAACGCGTGTTTGTGCATTTGGTACAACCACCGCGCATTTATTATGACTCTAATCTCCCTGTTGATAGCTAGGCTCGGTGTTAAGTGTCTTTCGGGAGAAATTCCCGCGCTATGATTAAGCCATCACTATCATCATCCTAGAGATGGATTTGGCGATTTTGCGGAATATGGCGCGCGCCTGCGCGTCTTGCTGCTGTGCGCAGAGGAATGCGTCCAGATTGAGTTTCAGTGCTGTAATCTCTTACACAGTCTCGTCTCTTTTGCAGGGGTTTCGGCAAACAAGGCTTCCAGTGTCAAGGTAAGACTCCCCCCTCCGTCTCCTGGAAAATGTGTCTGTACATTTTGGTAATCACTGCCACTGTTTATTCATTCATTCATTCATTCATTCATTCATTCATTCATTCATTCATTCATTCATTCATTCGTTTGTTTATTTATTTATTTAACTTGCATTACTGTTGTTTTTACCTTTTGAACGCAAGCAGTGCACGTGCCCTTTCAGTTCATTTGCGTGTGTTTGAGGAAGAAACACAGAGAAGCTTTATGTGTTTTTCTAGTGCAGGATTGAAGAAATTTCCAGTGACAGTTGTTTTAGTCTGGGAGGGGGGACGGGAGCTTTTGTCGCAACACTCTCATGACTGTACAAATTTGCCACCAACTCTTCACAGTCTCATTCTGTCCATTATCGTGCAGTCTGTTTGCACCTCACTGATGTTAGGTTGAGGTGTGAACCTTCTTGCACACTTTTTTCTTTAACACAAATGTATCTTCCCATACAAATCCATCAGAAAGTTCCAAAATAATATTGAAAAAATGAACATTTTCTCACCATCAATGGTTACAATCGTTTCTTTCTTCTGTTGAACAGTAAAAAAGATACTTTGAAGAATGTTATGTAAACAAGTAACCTTTGACTTTCATGGTAGGTAAAACAAATACTGTGTAAGTCAATGGTTTCAGGTTTCCAGCATTTACCAAAATCTATTATTTTCTGTTCAGCAGAAGAAAAAAACTCAAAGTGGTTTGTGACAAGTGAAGGGTGAGTAAATCATGACAGAATGTTCAGTTTTGGGTGAACTATCCCTTTAATATTTCCTAGACTGCATGTGTAGCCTACAGGCACATGCACTAACATTTTAGCCGCCATTAAACTATTGCACAGTTGTTTCATTACACACAAGCAGCGCCAGACAAAACCATGTTTAACTAAACTGAACTTTTGCCTCTTTACTTGGTGTCAGCGAGCATAGCCCTTGGTGACAACTTCCCAGTGTGAACTATAGAGTGAGCATTCAGATATGAAATACAATATCCAAGCACTGTTGCTTTGAATGTCAAAGTCTGAACTACCATTATAATGTCATTTGGCAGCAGTATCCTGCACACATCACCTCCTACCCAGTTCATTAGCAGGCTGTTAGAAACGCATTATCCACAAGTACTACATTACACTGAAATCCAAGCAAATGCATAGGAAACCACAGTTATCACACACTGTAAAACAATGAATGTCACTTTCACTGAATCTTAAAAAAGCATGTAAATGACACAATCCTCAGCCAAACACCAGATATCTATCTACTATCTACTAAAGTGAAACCATGAACTATTATCAGATTTAATTGAGTTGATGAAATTTTCTGTTGCTGAAAAATTAGCTAACACCTTTGTATTTTCCAGTGTTGACTATTGTAATGCTTACATCCTAAAAAAAGTCCTAAAAGCTACCCTAAATTAGTACAAAATTCAGCAGCTAGAATTCTGACTAGGACCAATGCAGGAGAGCACATGACCCAACATGCAAACTCCACAGAAACGCCAACTGATCCAGCGAGGCTCGAACCAGCGACCTTCTTGCTGTGAGGCGACAGCACTACCTACTGCGTCACTGCATCACCTTAATTATTACATTTTGTTGCCATTCATCGTTGTATCTTTTACTGCTGCACATTTTATGCCTGCAAAGTGCCTTGATATGCTACTTTTAAAGGCGGCATATACATTTTTTTTTTATTATTATTACTATTATTATTATTATTAATATTAAGTTACTGTGCCCCTTTCAAAGACCTGTCAAGAAAAAAGGATACTTGAATATCCAAGGGTTGCATTGTTTACATTTCTCAAGTAAAACATTTGCAAATTTCCCAGTGCTGGGTTGCGGCTTGAAGGTCATCGACTGTGTAAAACATATGCTGGATAAGTTGGCGATTCATTCTGCTGTGACGACCCCTGATGAACAAACACAGCGGGCACAGGGCGTCAGATAGACGTTGCACCCCAACGTTGGACGTTGCATTTTGTTTGGTAATGAAAATCAGGATGACGTCAGAACCCAACACCTGTTCAATGTCCAACATCGGACTGACGTTGCATTTTGGTCACTTTCCAACATCAACCTAAAATCAAACAAATATCAAAATCTACTGATGTTACAGCTTGACGTTGTGTGGATGTTACTACTATGTTGTCTATCAGACATTAGATTTTAGTTACTATACCTGACGAGTAAATCTCAGTAGTTGACGTCAATATGACGTATGCTATGATGTTGGCTCAACGTTGGATTTTGGTCACTTTCTAACCTAAAATCAACCAAATATCAACGTCATTTGATGTTGTTTTTGAACGCCAAAATAACGTTGTCCTTAGACACTGGTGACGTAAAACTAACCTAATATTAACATCTTATGACCTTGTGTGTCTGCTGGGAAGGGACTAAGCCGAAGGAAAATGAATGAATAAATGAATGTGTAAGAGCCAATTATGCATAATTCATTTGTGATAATAGTTTAGTTAAAAACGTTGATAAAAAACATGATAAAAATTTATATTTATATATAATAAGAATTCATTGTGATTATATTATCTAAAATGCATGATTTAGCAATTGATATAATTTAAAAACCTTTAATTTGGTATTTAATCTTCCGACAGTAATACGTCATGAGGTCATTAGTTCATACGTTTAAGGCAGATTGCAGTTATGGATGTTGGAAGCAACACAGTTTTTTGACCGAGCTGATCGAGTCTATTGTAACTTTGTATTTTTGTTTGCATTTCTTCAGTAAACCTTTTTTAAAATAAGATTCGGTCTTAATACTGGTTGTTGGAATTGAAGCTGCAAAAGGTGGCACATAAGGATTTGCACGAAAGGTGTGCCACTACAGAATGAATTAATTAATTAATGAAAGTAATGAATGAATGAATTAATGAATGAATGATTAATTAGCACATAATTAATTAACTATTTAATTCATTCATTCATTCATTCATTCATGAAAGTAATTAATTAATTAATTAATTAAAGTTTGCAAATTGTTGCAAATATAACATTTTAAAACCTGCTTCTAACAAGCAGATAAAGTTGAAAGCAAAAATATTAACCCCCCTGTGAAATTTGTCTTCCTTTTCAAATATTTGTGATGTTTAACAGATCAAGAAATTGTCACAGTATCTCCTTTAATATTTATACTTCTACAGAAACTCTTATTTATTTTAGCTTGGAAAGGTTAAAAGATTAATAAAAAAATTAAGGCCAATAATATTAGTCTCCTTAAGAAACAAGATTTTACTTAATAATTTTGACTTCAACTTTATTTCTTGAAGTGACCGTTACATACAACTAATAGACTCATACTGTCATCTGCGTGTTTTAGCACAATGAGTTCTGTACAAATGGTCTGCTTGGCTTGTCTGTGGAAATAACGCCTCGTTCCCATGTTTCATGCCTCCACATGGTCTCCAACAAATTCAGAATTCAGGGACTTGATTAGCATATTTTATCACACTTTGAGAGGCTTCATTTCTGCATGGCTCTTTATCTTTGCAGTCTTTATGTTGACATTGTTACTTGGGCAAAGTTGGTTCTTAATATTCGGATAGTGTCATTGCCTTCATCAGAGCCTGCCTACGTAATATCTTTGATCTGTTTTATGTCAGCTCTTATGTACAGTATGCTGGCATTGCATCTGTTTGAAATGATAATGTTGAAAAGCTGCAGTCATTTAGAAGGACATATTTGCTCTGTTGATTTATTTATTATGCTGTGTGAGGGCAAGCCAGGGCTGTTGCTGATGTGGCGATATGCTAACTAATAATGTTGATCATTTACTTTGTGGGCATGCACTCGGACAGACACACAGAAATGCGAGCATAAAAGAAACAGACCACACATGAAAACATTATTTACAGCATAATAATATCATTATGAGACAGCTATTCTGACCAATTGTCATTTTAGGGTGAAGATGCTCTCAGTAACAATTTTGAAGATTGACACAACATATAGCTATAAATTATGTTTTGGGTAAATTGTCATTTTTGTTTTATTCTGTAAACTACATATAACAAAGTATTAATTTCATCATTTTCCTTTGCATAGAGAAGCTAAAGAAATGTACTGGGTTTTTAGACAGGTTTTTATTAATTTTACACAACACAGCACAGTACTCAGATTTTAATGTCAGACGACTTAACCTCCTTGGGCTTAGTGGCCACATATGTGGACAGCACATTTTATCTCTTAAGTGGCTATTTAAAATACTTTGAATGTTTTTTATTTTGTTACAGATACACAGTGTCATCCTGCAACTGTTTTGCAGCATATGAAATGTCTCAAACAATATTTTTAACTGTTCAAAATGGGGGGGGGGGGAAATTAGTTTTGAACTCTCTGATAGTCAAAACATGTTTTCAAAAATGTTATATATGCATTAAAAAGCTGTCAGGAAAAAGTGTTTTATGTAAATGCAGACCACAAGTCCACATATATGGACATTATTTTTCTCTAAAAGTACATCATATCAAAAGATGATACTTAGAATTTTAGTCTAATTAGGTTCCAATAAGCCCAAAAAGAGAAATAAAAAAATGCATGTAAAAAACACCTTGGGCCTTAAGAGGTTAAAGAAATCAGTTACTGGTGGAAAAAAACAGATTTTTCAATCACAACAAGTGAAAAGATTTGCTTTTCTGACCAGTTGTCATTTTCTCAAGGGACAAATGGACTCATTGACGATATTTTAAAGTAAAAAAATGGGAAAATGTTATAAGACCTTAATATAAATAAAAACTAATTTTAACATTTTACTCATACTTAACACACACCTAATAAAACTAGTAAATCCAGAGAAATATGTACTTTAAGTGGTATCTTAACCTTTTTCGTAGCTGTATGAGATATACAGTTATGTCCATAAATATCATACATCGACACAATTCTAACATTTTGGGCTCTATACACCAACACCATGGATTTGAAATTAAACAAACAAAATGGGCGTTAACTTCAATTTG